TTTTTTTTTTTTTTTTTTTTTTTTTTACCCCCTGTTCAGAACTCAGCAGTGATGTGGAGGTGGAGACCCACAGGAGCCCGGGACTTCACCTGAGCTACCTCAGGTATCAACTCTGGGAGAATTGGTTGGGGAGGAGTATCATACCCAATTATCTGCTTCTGGTGGGACTTGCAACTTGGGACAGGCTTGGATAGATGGCATTTATTATTCAGTTCATATTTTTAAAAGTTTGTATTTTCTGATAGCACTTATTTTTATTGTTTCTATTATTTGGTTTCCTCCTTTTGGAGGAAGAGGACCCCCCCTTGTTTAGATCTTGTGTAACATTGGCTTCTGATCTGGTGGATCATTTTTGGGAATATAAACTCAAATTCAAGCCAGATATGGTTGCCCACACCTGTAATCTCAGCACGTGGGAGGCTGAGGCAGGAAGATAGCAAATTTGAGGTCAGTGTGGACTATATAGCAAGTTCAAATCCAGTCTGGAGTATATAGCCATGCCCTGTATTAAAAACAAAAACAGGGCCAGGGATTTAGTTCAGTGGTGCCACTGCTTGCCTTGCAAGTGCAAGGTCTTGAGTTCAGTCCCCAGTACCAAACACACACAGTCCAGGCAAAGGGATAGGGTAGGATAGGTGAAGGCCAGAGAAATAGACGAGATTTCCTTATGCTTAAGGAGAAACAGTTTTCCTGTTTGAACAATAGGGGGAGCCTGGACACTGCTTAAGAAAGGTTTAGGAAGTCAATACACGTGGTATCTGGTACTCTGTCTTACTGGGGGTGAAGAGAGGGGAGGGCTAAAACTAGGACAGTGGACTGACATTCCAGAGCTCTCTTGGGAAATAGGAGACTTAAAAAGCTTTTATAGAGTCTATAAATAAAGAGGATCTTTATGGGGTAAGGAATGATGTGGTTTGATGTCAGTGGGATCTTCCCATGGAAGGGAAAGAAGGGGGTGGGGAATGGGGAAAGAGAGGTCACTCACTCCTGTGGTATTAACTCATTCCCACCTTCACCTTTCCACAAATGGTTTTGTCCTGGGGGTCTAGAAGAGATTCCAGCTTGGAACTGTCTTTAATATGGAGAGGCCTGATTTCCCTGCGGTTAAGAATGGTAGTAGAGCACCAGGGATTTAGCTCAGTGGTTCTGCTGCGGGTGGGGAATGGGGAAAGAGAGGTCACTCACTCCTGTGGTATTAACTCATTCCCACCTTCACCTTTCCACAAATGGTTTTGTCCTGGGGGTCTAGAAGAGATTCCAGCTTGGAACTGTCTTTAATATGGAGAGGCCTGATTTCCCTGCGGTTAAGAATGGTAGTAGAGCACCAGGGATTTAGCTCAGTGGTTCTGCTGCCTCCCTCACAAGAGCAAGATCCTGAGTTTGATCCCCAGTACCAAAAAAAGAAAAAAAAAAAAGAAGAAGA